CTGCCAACGTTTTCATTCAAGGCTGGCTTTAAATCACGAATTAACAATGTTTCCTTAATTTTACAATGTATATCTGACCTACCAGTTGCTAAGATATCAAAATTGTCCCATTTAATATTATGACCCGTGGAAGTAACGTGATCCGCAATGGCTGAGGTGTGACCGCTATTAGCAAGGGCCTTAACATGTTCAGTTTTTCTATCGTGTAGTCGACGCTTTGTTTTTCCTATATAAAAATCATCACAGTCCCAGCAGCTTGCCTTGTAAACCGCGCCACCTTAGACATCTGAGAACGGCTGAACCTGTCCTTGTACGGGAAAAAAGACTTAATTCGGCGGGTTTTTCGGAAAATTATTTTAACGTTAAAACAACCATAAAACTTATAGATACAAGATTTAAGTTGCTGGGTGATTACTTTACTTTGGAACCCTAAAAATGGTAAAACAATGTAGATTTCTCTCTTGGGAACTGTAGTGATAGGGTCTTTAGGTTTGTTTTGATGTCTATTCACTACATCGTTCATGTTGTTGTTCATGACTTGAATCACTCGGGTTTGCGTGTCAAAAAGCAAAACAATATTTGGAATTTTCTTATGACCTCATCAAAATTCTGCGCCTTCCATGACGACGAAGACGAATTCCGTACTGGGATAAGCGAGCTGACAACTCTGGTATGCCACAAAAATTAATAACCGCAGTTTCTTAAGGTTTTAATTTTTATTTCCAACATATTTGCCTGTTGAACATTTCACATTTGTGACAGTTTGATCTAACAACTAAAACATTTTTTTTTTCTAATTTGCTGCTACTTAAATAAAAATATTCAACCTATTTCTAGCCCGAGGAAAGGCTTGGCTACGGTTTACGGTAACAAAGGCTCGCGGAAGACACGTTTAGCTGTTAATGGGGCGCAGTCAAGGTATTTTGGGCAATTCTTTCAGTTATGATCTCTAAAATTCAAAAAAGCAAAACGACAACGACCACAAAAGACGCAAGAGTGATATCCGAATTACACATGGCATTTTCATACAAATTGTGACAAACCTGAAGATCGTCGGCCCGATGATTTTCAAGTTTGCCGGTATTCTCCACATTTTGCCCATCCATGGCTCTTTTAGACGTGAAAAGCCGTTATTGACTTGTTATCAGCTCTAAAATTGCCTAAAATTGCATGACCTAGCCCCTTCAACCACAGATGTAGTAATAACGAGCTTATATTTATAAAAATATAATGGCCTCATTGTAGATTTAACACATATATAATTTGATCGGGGCCCAAGCTGGTTTAGACAGCCGTACTATTGTAATGTGATCTCAAAGCGGATACATTTCCCTATAAGGAGCTGACTTCTAACCAATCAAAATCGACACCGAGAATTCGCGAACATCTAAATCTTTTTTCTACAATATGTAGTTCTGGTTTTGAGAACTGACATCATTTGACTTATGCCATATTCTCGCGCTCACTTAATTATTCTCCACAGGAAAAACAACGGGAACGTTTACAGTTCCTCACGGTTTCATTTGGAACTTTTTCAGGCCTTCAAAATGTGCAAAAACACGCGCAATAAAGAGTGCCGACGGGAAAAGTTAACAAACGAACGGAAATATTAACTCTGTTTCCCTTTTCGCTCCGTTAGGGCGTTAGATCACGCCTGTTTCAACACAATCCGAGCGCCTAAAAGGCCCATTTTCATGACACGGGAGTTTTGGTACGACTCGGATAAAATCGGCACTCTAACTGACCGTGTCAACTTTCATCCCAGCTCGGCCTAGTATCTACCTGGTCCCAGCAGGGATGAAAGTAGTCGCAAGTACCAATCTCATTCGAGCGGATCCAAAACTCCTCTTTAGTATACACGGGCCTTCAAAGAGGCTAATAATTGTTTTGTTGTCGATTGCCATTCATCTGACGCTAAACCTGTAGTCACGTTTGAAGCAGTAAGGAGATCATGCATGTACAAGTTGATGCCGATATCCCGTCATCAAGAATCGACATAGCGCGCGTTTTTCGTCTCCTACGTTGCTAAGCAACCTGACACACATTAATTGCGTCATGTTGACGTCACTGTTTTGCAGTACTCGTGTGTTCTCTAGCCAGTTGTTGACTAAACAACACGAATCGAAAACACGACGACAGCTTGGAAGAACTTGCCAAAACCAGCGACTGCTTTCCCCTCCGTCACTGAAAGGATGTGTCACAGAAACCGCGCATTTGCACGCAGGACATGGCGTCAGTACAAATAGCACGTGACCTCGTGGTCCGTGTACCGTTGGACAAACAACGCACGGGCACGGGAGAGGATTGTACGCGAAGCCCATGCCCTCAAAACTCGTCAAGGGAGTTGTCGATGCCTTCTCTAAATCTTCTGTATGTCCTCATCACAGCATATTACCGAGTTCCTTTACAAAATACTCTCTTGTAAGAGGCATCCAGGCGACTTCAAAAGTACATTTTTCTACGCGCTAAACTGAATATGTACCCTGTATTTACACCGTGAAAAAAAAATAGTGATTCATTCAACGAGGGTCAGTGTTGTAGATGTTTCGGAGCGTCTGCGAACATGTACTCTAGCCTGTATGCCTCGGCTAACAGGAGACTTATCTGCTGGTCGTCCCAGTTGTTGGTTGGGAGATTTTGTAGTAACAGCATCAGCCCCTGCAGAAAGAAACGTTGTTGCAGTTAAACGGGGTCCCGGATTTGCTTGGAATAACCACGATATTGCTTAGTAACAGAGTAGCTTGGAAGTTATATATCAAAGATGAAACGCCGCGTTTGGCCATATTTCCAAACACCGAAAAGAGAGTTGAAAACACGACGCGCAGCAGAGTATTTTCGACGAACTTTGAGCCGTTTGGAATCGTGGTAAAACAGTCTCGAGTGTCTGATACATCTTCTCAATCCGGAAACTAAAAATTACACAGACACGATTTCCTTGACTAAAACGTGATAAATTATTAACAAGTTTATCTTGTCAAACTCTGTGATTGATTGACAAAATACTCATACTTCATGGTCGAACCAATGAGGAGCAAGTATATTTTCCCGCCAGTCAGGAGAGAAACCAATACAATGCAAATCGATAAAAAAGCGTCAACAAAGGCAGCGAGTGGAAAAATATAGCGTGAATTTTTCAAGTACTCGATTCCGTTCGTATTCCGTCTTAATCTTTCCCAATCTTAACCATCTTTGTTTAACAGTTGTTTGGCATTTTCTACCGTAGTAAGCTATTATCTGATCAAGTTTTATTCAAAGGTGACTTTACGAGCTAAGCGACAGTTTGCTAGAAATCTGGTAAACTATCGTCAGCACGCGGTCAAACGAGCTGAGAGTACGCGATAGTTGACAACAACCGCCTGTCAAGCAAGTGAAGAATCTTGTGAACTGTCAAGGAAATTTACGCAAGTTCCAATCCCACAAGAGCGAGTGAGGGTTAGCTATGGCGGAAGGACGAAAGCGAGTGCCAGGTCTAGTCAACTGGCCTTGACGCTTGCTTTATTGCCGTTTAGAACTGTTTCGCTACAGGGCTTTATTCATTTGAGTTACAACTGATTCACTGCATCACCAGCAGCTTTAGTGCACACTAGCTTTAATGTTCTATAACATGCGACTGTCCACTACAAAGCCCTCTCCAAACGCGAACTTCACCGCGTACTCTAGCCAAGACTAACGGTTTTGAAACCCTTAATAGTTACCAAAGAAACAAACCTGAAAATCTGTCTCCTCAACAATATCCTTTGAAAACTGCTTCAAGAACGCAGCACAAACGTACAAGTGAAAAGAGGCAAATCCATTTTCTACAGCCTGATTAAGAACAACAAACAAGGCAATACGTGATAAACTAAAATAAGACTTGGAGGCAAGTTATAAACCACACATACGGCACCGTTGCTAATCAAAGCAAAAAGCCGATCTGGTATATAAAAATCTCCCATGCTCGTAAAAACCTTTTTTACAGTGGCTTAATTTCTAAAATTTACACTCAGAAATTTATATTCAGTTCCAAGGGAAGTAAAAAGACATTTACGCAGGTTTCGTTTGACTGGTCACACTTTTGTCCACTGTTAAAAAATATCCAAACACAGTCAGGATGCAAAAGTCGCGCTCCTTCAAAGATGTACGCTTAAGTTCCCTGCTAAGGAGCTTCGGCAAACCACGGCGGCAACGGGAACGAAAACGCCACCAAACAAAAGGTTTAATGACCACAACAGTGGCTATGCACGTGCGCTATAGATCTTTGTACATTACGTAGCCGTCCTCTGCAAAACAACAACGTGAAATGACCAAGTTCTGCATATTATCGAGAAAGTAGGCCACGACGACAATTTCGTGTTTCTTTTTGGAATTGAGCAATTGGCATTATTGAGCAGGTTTTCAGACCGATTGGCGTAATGAGCAAATTCAGATAGTTACGAAATTCGAAGGTAAAATATACATCTATTTTTTCCTAGGCGTTGTCCCTAGCGTCACCGTCATCATTGCTTAATAAGCTTCCTGTTATTTAGGTTGCGCACAATGTTTTCCCCGCAGAGGCGTTGCGTGGCAGACACGTTGTGTGACGACTCGAACGACGGCCGCGAAGGCATCAAGGCAAGCTGGTGCAGTGGAACCCCGTTAATACCGTCACCAACGGGCCATGAAAATTTGGTCGTATTTACGGGGTGGCCGTATTAACGTGGCAGGGTCAAATTTCATGACTGGCCTATTTCAAGCCCGGTGATGTCTTGAAATATCACAATCACACTTGTAATAACNGTGCAGTGGCACCCCATTAATACCGTCACCAACGGGCCATGAAAATTTGGTCGTATTTACGGGGTGGCCGTATTAACGTGGCAGGATCAAATTTCATGACTGGCCTATTTCAAGCCCGGTAGCCAACGTCTTGAAATATCACAATCACACTTGCAATAACTGAATAAGCAACCGGAATGCAGACATGATTTTAAAAAATTGAAACTTCAATCAGTACATACAATATTAACCACGGAAAGTACTACAAGAAATGTGTGAGAACCAGTAGGGAGAATATGGATAACGAACTCTAATACAAACCAGGTAAGTATCCCAGAGCCGTATCGTACATCTCAGAGGCATCTCACGCATTAGAAGATTGTTCATCCATCGGAAAGCAAATTGAAGATATTCAACGTGATTTTTCGCCAAGTGATTATTTAGAGGTTCTGGTGAGGAAAAATGAAACTAGTTTTGTGAAAAGCATGTTTCATATGAAGTATTTGATTACAAGTCTACTTTAGACTACTATATTCTAGGCCACTTAGCTAAACCCAGCCAATAAGAGTTGAAAGAAACCATTCTATAAAAGGTCTAATGTTCTATTCTCGCTCACCATCGATTCTCTGAATAAGTTCTCTGAGTGCATTGACTTTCATTTGAATTCCCGGCTGTGCAAATGTGTAATTATCCTGGAGAAAAACAAAAAAAAAAAAAAGAAAAAGAAAAAAAGTGAACGTTTGATACTTTTACATGTGATTAGTTGCCGAACTAGTTGCTATGGCATTATAAGCAGTGTTTCTGCCAGAGCGCGCCATTGCGGGAATCCCGCGTTGCAATCAGAGATGGCCCCCAGAAAAACGAAGAAAGGGCCAATTTGGCCCTTTCCTGTAACAAGACTACAGGCTTAATCAGGCGTACTATTTTAAAAGCCATCCCAGGGCTCGAAATTGCGACCGATATGGTCACCAATGTGACTAACATTTCATCCTTGGCGACCAAAATTCGGCAAAAATCCTGGTTTAATAACCATAATGGCGACATTATTTTTCTGTGTTGACGATCAATCCGGTTATTTTGTCACACATTATGTCCTTCTAGACAATCATATTGAAAGATCTTTGCTTCTAAAACATTCAACATAAGAAAAGAAGTCAATCCATCCTTTTGCTCTGCTGTATTGATTATCTCACATCGGAAAACATCCAAGTTCGAAATCGCCCTACAATGCATTGCAAACCCTTGATCAGTGACTATGTCATGTATGCCTAAGGACTGTTCTCTTGTAATGCATGCATCATACTGGTATCTGATTCAAAAGAAACTTCTTGAGTAGAAACACTTCAAAAAGCACTTACTATTAAATTTTATCCTAGATCTTAATCTGCTTTATTTTCCTTGGTACCCTGACACAGTTTTCCCTCTGCAGCTTTCAATGTATTGGCCCCTTACCTAAAAAATTGGCCCCTAAGAAAGGTCTTCAGGGGCCACTTTGGCCCTCAAGAAAAATTTTCTGGCTGAAACACTGTATAAGTGATTCCGAAAACGTTCAAGCCCTGAGTTTGGCTTGCTTTTTGCAGTCAATGACGGATCAAGAATTGCGAACAAGGAAGAGGTCGACGGTAAAATAGTGCTCAGGGCGCGACATTAATAAAGTAGTGATTGTGGGAGGGTCTTTTTCACCTTCTAAAATCTTTGCTGCTGAAATGGATAGAATTTCAAGATTTGCGTGTTGTTTAAGTAATATATCAAACAAGACAGACAGTGTTTCATCGGGATAACCAAACACCGAGAAGAGAGTTGAAAATACGACGCGCAGCGGAGTATTTTTGACGAAATTAGAGGTCTTTGGATAGTCGATGAAACACTGTCTCGGGTGTCTGATATATCTTCTCAATCGAAACTAACTAAGGAGTAAACGGAGAAGCAAAATCGTCAAAATATACGCTAATTAAGACCGGGCATCCAAGCCTCATTCACGGTTGTGATTTTCTTTGTTTTAACTTGATAAATTATTAATGAGTTTGAGAAAGTGAAATCCAATTCTTAGCAACAGAATTGCACTGTCCTGTATAAGATACGTGTATCTTGCTACAATGGACATTTACCTGTATACCATCCAATAGTTTGCTCATGCACCAGAAGCTATCAGCTTCTATTGTATCTAAAGTTTCCTGTGATAATTGAGAGACATCATGGTTCTCCAAATCACCATCTAAAATGAAATAAACAAGAAGAAGTGGCAATGCACTTACAACTAAAAACACTTCCTACAGAGGGCCAGAGCTTAAGGCTCCAGAAAATGTGAAAATCGTCAGAATCATGGGGTGTTTAGTCTGAGTTTGATTGCGGTCGTTGAGTTTCAACCAATAGATCAAGAAGTTAAAGGCACTCAGTGTAAAGGCTAAGTCACGCCTAATTTATTACGTTTTGCGATATACTTGCTATGAAACTTAATCTTAATGAAGAAATTACTTTTCTGGATTTAAATATGTCTCCCCGTCCTTAATTATCTTTAAAAACAATGTTAGGGTTTTCGTAAGCTATTTCGCTACAGTATATATTAATGCTAGTATTATAGGTAATATTAGCATTGTAAGTTTTGTTATTATTGCAAGTAATGTTAGGTAGTGTTCTAAATGAGGTGTGTTCCAATAAAAAACTTGGGCTGGTCGCTTACGAGAACTTCAGAAACTCATCAATAATTCATAAAGAAAAAACAAAAGAAATTAATCTTTAATGAGTGTCTTTAAATCTGATAAAGACACGGCTAAACTTTACGTTCAAGTTTTAGACCAAAATACCGATTAGCCCAGTGTGCAGTTTCATTAAAGTGTTGATTTATATGTACGCATAAAAGACTCTGAGTACTCGCTTACAAGAGCTCAAAAACAAAGAAAAAGTCCAGTTGGGTAATCCCAAAAGTGGTCGCGGTCGCTTACCGGAGAGGTCGCTGAGCGACGCTTTTGAGATGCAGACGCTAACCGGAGTTGAAAGTTCTTGTTCCAGGTGTTCACTACAGCTTTTTGGTCAGCACAATTTGGTTTAAAATACAAACACGACGACTTTCCAGTTGATCCTATGGCGTCAAAGGCGCGCCAGAATTAGCTCCATTTCTCTTCCGGTTGCCGTCCGCGTCTCAAAAACGTCGCTGCTTAAGGTGGCTATTTTCATTACAAAGTTCAAACGGGGATTCACAAAGGTGGTCGTAAGGAGAGCTTCGACTGTAGTAAAGAAAAAATCGACAGGAAATATGGTAGTTGTAGTCAAATGACGCTATCATGCAAATCTGAAATTGGTTTGGTTTTGGTTTTACGACACTCAATTGAAAACCACTCTTAGTGCGTTCCCTGTTAATCACAACACAAACTTACCTACATACGCAGATAAAAATACCACGAAGAAAGGTGTAACAAGATCATTGATTCCTTGGACATAGCCACTGGCTGGGTGACGGATTGCCCAGATATACAGGATTCTCTCAAAGATCTACAGCACAGAGACAACTAACATGACGTATAATTGTACATAACGTATTTCCACACATTACACATGGTTTTTACACATAAACAACCGAGTTAGAAAATTAAAGTTGTATTTAAGGTCATTCCTCACATTTGCATTGCGCATCCTTACTGCGCATAATTTATGGCGTCATTAGCGCGCGCTCGTGCACGCGCACATTGAAAACAT